CTGCTACTGCTACTGCTACGACTACTTCTCCTGCTCCTCCTGCTGCTGCTCTTATCAACATCAACACCAGCATCACCTTCATCATTATTCTGAGCATCATCACCATGACCATCATCATCTTCATCATCATCATCACCATCATCAATGCAGACCTGCGTCTTTTGTGGCTGCCGTCGAAACGACGCGACTCTTGTGGCCGCTGAACGCCAGCGACCCGGGTCTAGAGATAGAGATCCATGCGTTGGGGCGCGGCTCTGCGTAGTCGGATCGAGCCAATTATGTGGGTTTAGGGTTCAGGGGTTTAGAGGAGTAGTGTCCACGACCATCAAGACAACAAGAGACCAACAAACAGCAAGCGTCATCGTCATCATCATCTGTCGTTACTGCACTGGTACTGGGTGGCACCTGCTGCAGCAATATCGGTAAATCCACGGCTGTTTAGAAACTTCAGGGCCTTGCAAAAGAACTCACTTCAGCCTAGGGCGAAAGCGCCGGTAGCGCAGGTGCTGAGACATGATGGTGCCGGCAGCAGCAGTCTCAGCAGACCCAATTTATGCCCTCCTTGCTCTCAGTCAAGGTCTGACCAGGCTCCACACCTTCAGGGCACTGCAGCCTGGACTTGGAGGCCGGGCCTGGACAGGCCCACATGCAGGTTGCTGGAATCATCCGGTTGCAACCGATGAGCTCCGGCTTCTTCAAGCAGCTCATATAGGCATGACATCCCCAGCTACAGCCGCCGCCACTGCAGTGCTCCTGGTGAATGATCTCGTTCGGCCCACAGACAAGCTGCTGCTGTCCGCCAGAAAAGCATTTATAGGTGCAGCTCGGGCCGTTTCCGTTCACCGTGCACTGCGTCTTCACGGGGACACTGCCGCCAGCGCAGCCGATGATCTGCAGTGAGGAAACAAAGCAACCGAAAAACTTGCATTCCGTGGTCCGCACCCCCCTAAGCAAAAAGAAACGGCCACCGCGGCTACGGACCGATTTCAAAGCTTTAGGCTAACACTGGATGTCCAGGGCACATCCATCCGTGGTGGTACGAATGTCTGCAGGAGGCTCAGGTACTGGTTCTTGATCTGCTCCTCGACACTCTCCACCTGCGTTTGACGGGAGCGGGTGGCAGAGGAAAGGCGGTAGCAGGGGCAGGGCCGCCGGAGGGGGAACCGAGCGTGCATTTTTCAAGCCCATCCGAGCCCTTAGGCGCATAGCGATGGTACGGGTAGGGCTACCCGGCACCTGCTCTTCTGTGCAGGCATCGGCTCCTGCCGAACAGCTCCCGGTCTGCCCAGCCGCCCGAAGCAGCCACGCGAGTCCTCCGGGCCACATGGAATCGGCACGGACGGAGGCGAGTGTCGTCTTGGGGGGGGGGGGGGGGGGTTATGGGGAGCTGGAGGAACGATGCAAGGAAGAAAGAGGAGCGATTCTGTTCGTATGCATTTCAGGAAGCCCTGTCCCAGCAGTGGTGCGAGTCCCACCACTGCCATGTGCACGAAGGTGCCGGCCCAGCTTCAAAGGTGAGGGGTGCCACCTGTGCACTTGAGCCAACTCCGGCGAGAAGGAACTCTTCCGAGCCAGCGAACTGTGCTTCGAGAGAGCTTCCTTTCGAAATCAGATAAATTCGCTGAACGACACATGGAAATGGGGTCCAGGTCACACCTGGAACACCATCCGATTCTGTCTAGGTGCATTGCGCCTGTGGCTGCATGGTGAGCCAGCATAGGTGCGACACCCTTCCACATGGCGAGCCTGTAAGGCAAGCTGAACAGAGGTATGGTTCCTCAACGGATGGATCCGCGCCACACAACACCACAAAAGTATTTTGCCTAAACACAAGATAGACTTGCACAGCCTGATGCCTTCTCGCTGTATGAACCGCAGGAGTATGTGTTCACCTTTAGGATCTCCCTTTGGTCGTCATCCGAATACGTCACTTTTACAAGAAGGCAATAAGTAAGCAGTAAGGCAAACCAAAATTGCACAGTGACTGCAAAGAGCTGGGCTCCAGAGGGAAACCCCAGGACAGCACAAGAAAGCAGGGAGCACAGCATCTGCCCGACGAACGTCGCTGCGAAGGTCAAGGCACTGGGCCCTGCCAGACGGAGGGTTTAGGGTTTAGTTTTCAGGTTCAGGGCTCACAGAGAGGAGGCTCGATCCCGTAAACATTGCACAAAGGCGCAACGCTCCAACATGTTACGATTTGTAGACATGCTCCCGTGGGCTGCTGTTAGCTGATGAGCACCCCTACTGCAGGAGCAACTACTGCTGTCGTCCTCGAGGGTGCCGTCAAAGTTTTCTTTGTTTGGATTCGAGCTTGAAGGGCACCGGCCTTCCAAACCATCCATGAGCCGGATGGCCAGCGAAGCAACGCCACGAAGCTCTGCATCGTCTGTCCACCTTTGAAATTCACGGCGAGCCAACACTACTTTGCGCTGAAAACACGGTTTGGTTGACGGCACTGGGCTCCGAGCATTAAGGAGAAGGAGTCGACTGTCTTTTCCTGTGTCTTGCATAACCCAAGAAGATCAAAATCCCAGGCATTCGCGACGCAGCCTTGGCCAGTATACCCGAGTCAGCAGCCGTCTTCCGAAGACCCAAGCAATCCCAACCAGAAAACCGTCACTGGAGTTTCTGCCGACCCAAACCCCAAAGGAGCTGGTGCCTTCAGGGCCGCCAGCTGCTGCGAGACGGGGTCCGGTGCAGCTTTGGGTTTCACCACAGGTCTCTTGTAGGCACGCCTTGGACTAAAAACGGCGACTTGCAGCTCTCTAGGACTCTGTGGCAAGGACCTGTAGAGTTTATTTGGGGATATGACGTGGATAATACGTCATGACACACACACACACACGCGCACGTAATCCGTACACTCAACTCAAGTATCATATATCCCTTCCGCAATTGCAAAACCAGCCTAGATTTCAATTACATCTATGCGTTTTGCATGTCCGGTGGCTTGCTTCTGTGCGAGCATTGAATGCTCACATCTGATGGCTCCGAACTGTCGGAAACATTTCCATGCCTCGCGCAGATTTATCTTGCCTGGACTGTCCACCTTCTGGTTCCCTGTGTGTTCTTTTTCTGTCCAACAATCTCTTTGATTCGTCTCCATCAGTAATGACAACGAACTGAGGGAAAAAAGGGATGAAAAAACAGAATGGGGTCCTCTGCTCCCTTTCACTTGACACACGTAAAGAGTTACATGGGAAGCACGACGAGCGGACTGATTGTAATGAGAACAAGAGAAAAGAGGTGCCAAACGGAGAGATATAACGGAACCCGTCTTTCCTCTCCGTGCCACCTGCTTCATTCTGCGCTCTTCCTACTTGCTTGATTTATGTGTTTCGTTTACCAGAATTGAGTAGCGCGGGGAAACACATAGTTGCTTCACTTCGCAACTCCTGCTGAGAAGCAGGAGAAGAGAAGAGAAGAGACAAGGGAAAGACATGTTGGTATTCTTTTTCTCTCCCCTCCATTCTTTTTTTGGTTGTGCTCTATTTATCACAGCCTCTCTGTCTTTCCGCTGCTTTACACGACAAGGGTCGAAAGGGTAGTTGAAGGAAAGGGCAACGGGGAAGATACCAAATTTGACATCAGCAAGCTTGCTCATAAAGTACAAAATGGAACTATCCTTAAAGGAGGAAACCCTCCCCCTTCAAAAAACAAAATACAAAGTGAAACCTTCCCGTGCCTTCGTTCTTACTCCTCTCGCTTCTTCTTCATTTCGTCTTTCTTTCGGGAGGGATATGGGCAAAGGGGAAATCCCCCCTGCCCGCGCGCCTGTCGGCGCCCCCAACCGGTGTGGAGGCGAAAAGTGTAAGCACTCGCCCAACCAAGGCAATATTTGCTTCATTTCGTCTCTCTCTCTCTCTCTCTCTCTCTCTCTCTCTTTCTTTCGTTAGGGTTAGGGACTAGGGGGTTTCCCCCCTAGCCCGCGCGCCGTCGGCGCCCCCAACTTGTGGGTGGGCGTATTTGGGAAAAGCTCTCTCACCACAGAGGCAATTTTGCTCTGAGGGGGCAGTCGAAATGGCAAACGAGGGAAACAGTGTTCGAACACAGCGAAACCACGGTAAACACAGCATAGAAAGGGTTCGTTCCCTTGTAGGCCCAAAAAGAAAGGTGGCACTTGGCGTATGAATTGACGCCTCGAGCGGAGGCTGTGGCTGGTGTGTTTCACGGCTCCTGCGGCCCGTCTTATGTTACAGGGAGTCTAAGACTCCTGGAGGTTTACCCCCCTGAAAAGAAAGGACAAGAACGGATCGAAAGTCTGAGTGGACTCGAAACTTGGAAATCATTTCTTGCATGCCTCGTGCTCACAGGTCAAAACCATGTACACCCTAGGGTGGAGGGCGGGGTCATCCCCCAGTGCTGTCTGCACAAACGCTCACTGCCGCTCAGAAGTCACCCTTCTCGAGGAGCGAGGAGGAGCTCTACGTCGTGGTAGAGGCGGTCGGTCGTCTTGCTGTCTTGGCACCGGTGTTCTCTTGTTGCTCAGCATTGCGGGGTTCCATCCCCGATTGTCATCTTTACGCCACGTGCCTTCTGCCCGCTTTCTTTTCCTTTCGGCCCTGTAGCTGTCTTTCATCTCCTGCCGGTACGCACGCCAGATTTCGTCATCGCTGGCATGTCTGTCTAGCCCCCGTGGTAGTTTTCCGGCAAGGTCTCCAGCACGAAGTAGTTCATGCAGTCTTGCTCTCTGCTGCGCCGAGAGGCTTGAGGGTTCACCCCTCGGTTCTGGTACACTGCTTTGCGAGGGGTTTCCTTGGTCTCCACCGTCATCTTGGCCTGCGGCTGGTTCCTCCGGTGTCGAGCTGGGGCTAAAAAGGTCTGGCCCAGCATCAACTCCATTGTCGCACGGGGAGCTTTCCCCAAGTACCGGTCTGGGAGCATTTCCCTCTCTCTTCTCACATGTATGCTGTTGTGATGCCTCATCCTGCAGGTCGAAGACATCTGTTGAAGGGTGTAGCCCCCTGCTGAACCCTTGGCCTTGTGCCCAACCAGGTGGGAGAGGTTGAAGGATGGCTTGTACCTCCTGTAGCCCAGGTTCGAGGTCATGAGCATGGCCGGATAGCGTTGTTTCCTCAGCTCCAGTAGTTGGCGAGGTCCTCCCAGGGAGCGGTGAGGCCAAAGTGTCCTCTCGGATACTAGGGTGTTTCTCGCTGTTAAGCTTGTTATCGGTGGCATAGTCCGGGTCTGGGGTTTCCCCCGCAGGTTTTTCGTGTAAGGTGTCATCACGTACATCATGGTCGGGTAGTACACGAATGGGCATCGGGGTTTTCCCCGCGGTCTCATATGTAGCATAGGTGGGGTCACTTTATTGTATTGTAGTGTCCTCTGCGCCAGTGGTTGTGGCCCTGGTCCCCGGGATCGGGGGAAGCGAGGCATTCTCGAAGTCGTCCTGGTTCCCCTTGACGTAGAGCGCGTGGTCCTCAAAGGAGTCGGTCGTCACTGGGGCATTCCCCGAGGTGGCAGGCGTAGTTGTTTGTGCGGGCATCGGAATGGCTCGTGCTGCACCTGCTTCGATCGGCGAGAGACCGCGAATGATTCGCGAGGAAGCGGGGCGGAGTTGTGGTAGAACCCATTCTGGCATCGCCTCGTCGACCTTCGTTTCCTTGACCGGTTTTGCTGCAGTTTGCCTAGGCAATGGGGTAGTCCCCGTGGATTCTCGATTCTCTCTCTCTCTCTCTCTCTCTCTCTCTCTCTCTTTCGACACAGTCGAACTCCCCACCCTCTACCTGCGATCTTAAAGTTGCCGGCCAATGCGTGCACGGCATTGCGATAGTACTATCACATCTGTCCAAACGAAAGCTCGGCAGCATTATCGTCATTGTTTCCGGCTGGTAAAGACATGCTTTTGTGCCACCCAAATTACGCAGGACAAGATCAGACGCAACTTTCCAGACATCTGCCAGGACACATGGTACCCAAAAGACACACTCTTGGTTGAGGTGTGCGCAGCTGTTATCACGACACCGTAATCAATGCATGAGTTCTAGCACAATGCCCTGAATACACTCGTTGCCATCATCCGGTGGCGGGCGCCTAGGCTCAGCTGCGGCCCAGCGAAGGCAAACTGCGGCAGTTCTCGCGTGCGCCTCCTTGCGAAAGCTTCCCACCTTAGGAAAGTTGGCTACGATCTGCATTTCAGTCAGTCCTCGACAGTGAATGCAACACCACACCCTCGCAAGCCTCACCACCCTAAACCCTATAAAGCTGCCAACTGCCTGAGAATTGCTATCGAGGAGACTCATCGTCCGGGATGAGAGGTGTGGGCCACTCCGGGAACAACTCCTGGAACCTCGCCAAAGGCAAATTCAGTGCTTCCGGCTTGCACAAACCTCTACTGTATCAACTGCTACAAGGAGAGCGCTGCTTCCAACCTCTCGAACAAGTTCCAAGACAGCCGTTGTGACAGCCAGTATGGGAGCTGCACGAAATCAAAGACTTAAAGATGGGCTTCAGAGTTCCGTCTTAAGTTGGGAGCATCAGA